ATTAAAACAAATAGAATATCAGTATTTTACTTGAAAACATAATTGCGAAAAAATCACCTTTGCAGAATTTTTTGTTTTTGTTTTTGTCTCAAATCTGACAAACCACAAAAAATACCTCGGCAAATTGGTGATTTGAATATCAAGAGATGTTTTCAAAAAAAGCAAAATACTGAGCCAGAATATATTAGTTATAACGGGAAGGACTTTTAATGCATTAGACACTTTCCCTATATTTGAATAACAGAAATAAAATTATGTCATTCAACCGAGCGCTTTGAGATTACCTTAAACCACTAAGTGTCAAGATTGCAAAGGAAGCCGACAGCAAAAATTGAACAAAGACCTTGAGGTACTCTAAGTTGGTACAGATACACTGACTGATCAAAAAAACATCGCAAATAGTTTCAATCGATATTTCACATCAGAAAATTGGACTTATCCTCTTAACTTCCTGAAAGTTGATAGGACAAAGAATTTCGTGCAGGCATCAAATGCATTAAAGTTAAAAATCTCTTGTTGGAATTATGAGTCTGTCCAAGAGGGGACCGGGTAGGCGTGACACATGCCATCTCACCTAAGTTATTCAAGAATCCACAGTAGTTCGGGTTCCCAGATAATCCCTGGGGTATTAGAGCCCCCACATCAACTCCCTGGGTAAAAGCTAAAATTAGCTGGAAAAATGCACTTCCAACGAATCTCTCACACACTAATAGAATGCGATGGATCTTAATCCTACTTTGTCCAATGGTTGTTTGAACCTTAAGGAACCAAAACCATGAGGTTGGGCTAATTTGATATGACTTCTGCCAATTTAGAGCAGTTAATCATTAACTGTGTCACGCAACTATTCCAAAAAGGAAAAAATTAGGATTTTTTAATTGCAAATATTTCCAATGAGCAACATTGTATGACGAGAAACATACTATAACAGCAAAGACCTACCTTAACACTAAATTTGTGGGCAAAACATTTTTGGCCTCTGTAAAAGATTCGTGATCACTTCCCTCTAAAATACGTACCTTCTAACGTTAATTTATGCAATTTATGCAATTTTGATAAACTAATGTTTGGTCACTCAATTTCAATTTGAGAATGGGATCGCCGACGCTAGTTCTTGTGGTACTAATGTCTAAAAACAACAGATGTATGGCTACTAAGCTAAGAAGTCTCTTATCATAGAAATTGTGTGACGCTGACACAATCTATTGGAAAAAAATGATTCATAAATGTATGTATTTATCATACCTCAAACATTACCGAACTGAGTAATGGACGTCGGCAGTTGACAGCGACGTTTGCCAGATATAATTTACGCAAATGAAACACTTTATATACCTATTATAATTTTACTCGATGCACCATAATTTTGAGAAGACTTTATCCAATTTTAGGTACATTACTGAACAGTTGTTCCTGATACATTTAACCTTTAATTGAAAAAAAAAAACAAAACAAAAAAGGAAAAAACGAGTGAGATTTGCTTCTCAGATGTAAAAGATCTATCAAGATTCCGATTTCTTTAGACTAAGGCAGGGAGAGGTTTCTGAAATTTTTTTTTTTTTTAATAAAGGGTCTTACTCGGTCCATTTTTGATTATTAGTCCCTTTTAACAGCACAAACGCCTCTTTTTACTCACGCTGAAGCCAATGATTCCATAGGTTACTCACAAGAAGAACATCATCTGACAGTCACTTTTAAAAATCTTTTTGTACCGGTAGGAAGTTTCTAGTTCTCTTCCTTATCTGAAATCTCGTCTCCATCTCTACGGCATTGTTGACTTATTGCTCGTATATTCATCCTCCAAGGAGGCACTTACAACTCCATTCAGGAGATCGGCCTTACTAAAGGCTAATAGCCTGCTTAAATATCTAGCAATTTGGATAAATGAAAGTTATTCCTCCTTGGTAAACAAGTTTTCTCCATTTCCTAATCTTAGACCCTTCATTTTGGATAGCGCACATCCCCAGAGCAGCTCTTTGAGACGCTGCACTGTTATTAAGAACCTGGCCAATAACCAAGTGCTCGTAATTATGAACTTGGCCTTAAAATTCTCCTTAGTTGGTTACCAGGAAACACAGAGAAAATGGTTTGGGATTATGGGCAGGTCATTGCACGTTTCTGTCGCGGTCAACAAGCGCGCGGATGGTGAAGTTGAGGTAGAGCTTTAAGTCCGAGATGGTAATTGTAAAAACGCAGCAGAGGAAATTTTAAAATACGTCGATAAACTACGCCACTGTTGCAAAAAGACTCTTTCCAAAATATGAAGAGGTACAGGATGGTAGGCATCAAAGCTTTGAACAACTTTCCTTTGAATCTTTTGGGACGAGAGCTTGAAAAGTGTAAAATACAGAAAAGAGCTTTTTTTAAATGGGACAGTCTCAAAAACACAGTTCTCCACAATTTCCATCAGAAAAAAATATTTACTTATTTCCTGAGTGGGAGGGCCGGACGGAAAATATTTGAGTCGACGTCATGACGGACCAAGCGCAACGACGTCCGTGCGCCATGACCGAGTGCCAAATTTCTTCCCTTCCGGCTCAAACAAACTCAATCAAAACGAATTTCACTATATATGGCCACTAAGTGTCGAAAATTCGAAAATTTTTTTAAACCTCAATAGGACGCGATAGAGGGGCGCACGCAAAAACCACAAAAAAGCCACAAAAAACGATTCTACAATACATACTTTTTTTTTTTAAGTTTTTGCAACAAAACTTAAAGGAAACAGCTTTTACTACGGTTTTCTATGGGATTCAGCCACCTAGCTAGTCATCTAAGGATGTTGGAAGGTTTCATGTGGCAGCATCTCAGCCCCAAGTTGCCATAACTGGTTGGCAAGGGACGTTAAACAACCCACGCACTTTTCGTAAAGAGAAGGGGACGTAGCTCACGCTGTTGTGGTCTTGTCTTGATTCCGAAATTGGGGGCACTTGCAATACTTCCTTCCAATGTTTGTTGCCATACAATGTTGCTCATTGGAGATATTTGCGATTAAAAAACCCTAATTTTTTCCTTTTTTAACTGCTCTAAATTGGCAGAAGTTATATCAAATTACCCCAACTTTAAGGAATTGTTTCCTTAAGGTATCAAACAACCATTGGACAAAATAATATTAAGATCCACGCATTCTGTTAGTGTGAGAGAGATCCGTTGGAAGGCATTCGATGTGGGGGCTCAAATACCCTAAGGATTAGCCGGGAGCCTGAACCACTGTGGATTCTTGAATAACTTAGTGACTCTCATAAGCTGTGAAAGTTTGAAAGAAATCGGTGAGATGACATGTGTCATGCCTAACTGGTCCTCTCGCGGACAGACTCTTAAAAGCCCATAGAAGCTTCAGCCCCGACGACATTTATCCAGGCAAGAACCTTTAAATGTAGCATTAACTCCCTAGCCTCACCCTTATACTCTTTGTTTAATAATTCATTCAAACTAGGTATCATTCCGAAAGCCGGGAATGTAGCTGCTTGTTTGTTTGTTTAATTTTTGAAAACAGCTCGGTGTTATTCTGCTTTCCATGAAAGGAGCCCAAATCAAATCGGAGAACTACAGACCTCTATTGTCAGTTAATTTTCAAGAGGATCGAAGGGAAGTCTAAGGCTAAGCCCAAGTAGTTGGTTTTATGAAAGAGTGTTCCTGCCTTCCAAAATTACTCAACACTTTCCCACAAAGAGCCCTGAACCAGGCTCTTGCGCAAGCCATTTAAAGTTTTGCGTTTGACCAGGGAGGGAGTTACTTCTATTCATTCTCGGCCAAATACAAACGGGAAATGAACCTTCATGTCCAAATAAAACGGATACGTGTATTCCAGCTCGTGTTCCCTTCATTAAGGCTTTGTTGACAGATTCAGTAAAAGCGAGGATTGAAAAAATAAAACAACATTTATTACATTCGAATTCAACAGCAGTCCTTGTACATATTTAATGTCCTTGGTTAACATACTTCGCAGTTTAGTGTGGTTCTTTCCAAAATATAAAATATATATATGTAAAATATGAGATTTTGGAACCTTGAAATATTATCAATCAGACGACATTCTGAACTATTATAGTAAATTGAAAAAGAGATTATACATTATAAGGACTACGTAACCCGTAAGACACTTTCTTATCATTAGTATGTAATTTTAGAGTAATACATAACTCTGCTCTTCATAAAATCATCAGCTAGGATGAAAAAAAATTACAAGTTAGAGTACAAGCTTTGCGTAAATGACTTACTAGGTAAAGTCCAAATAAACTCATTTGAACGAGTATACAACACCTACATTTGGCTTCGAAAACGAACAAGGCAGAACAAAACATTCCTTTTTGTTCAAGTGTATTGCAATTAAGCTTAAACATTATACCCTTGGAGTCTACCCACTAAAAATACGAAAGCCTCTAAATATTGAGGATATGTTGTTACTTATTACTTATTTATACCTCACTAATTCACGTAGACTTTTTAAAAGTTTTCTTTTAGAAAATAACGATATTCATTAAATAGGTTATCAAAATATAATTTAATATTTTGGCATCTTTTTACAGCTAAATCACCAGTATAACCAATTCCCTGTAGCGCAAAACTTTTTGTTACAAAAGGTATAACATTATTGCCAACAGACCCGTTATACGAAATTGCAGCTGCATTTGTAGTCTATTTTTTTAAACAGTGGAGTTCGTTTATCGAATAATGAATGTTTAATAATCGTTTGAGTCATGATACCGAGTCATTTCTAAACTCTTGATCGCGATGTTTCGACTGCCTCACTGCTGGTCATTTTTAATACTCCGTTCAACAAGTGATAGTGACTAGAAGGTCAGTTATCTAATTAAGCACCTTGAAAAGTAATCTCTAAGTTGTCATTTATAAAAATGGAATTTATTTCATGACAAGCGAAACGTAACAGGAGGAACCTGTCAGGTCTCTGTGACTCTGACTTGTTACTTGGCCTACTTTGTAGTTGAACGGGAAAGTTGTGCTCCTCTAACTTCCCAATCAGTACCAGTTAACATTTGAGACAAATATTTTCTGCCTTTATCAGTTACATTCCGATTTCCCTGGTAGTCTAAGCTCCGTAGTTTGCAGTTGGTATCAGTCAAGGCCTTACACAGGTGCTTGATTCCTTCATCTCCAAATTCATTGTTGCTTATGTCTAAACTTGTTAATGTACAGAATCCGTTGGTTAAAACCTTAGACAATTCTTTGATTCCTCCATCTCCTAATCTAATAAGACCGATTTTCAATTTGGTTAACACACAATTACTGCTGGTAAGTGCATCGCACAAGTGTTTAAATCCGTTGTCTTCCCACCGAATGTGACTGGCGTTTAAGCTTGTTAATCTGCAGTTAACGCTTGTTAGCGCGTTACACAAGTGCATGATTCCTTCGTCTCCTAACCAATTGTTACTGACGTTTAAGCTGGTTAATGTACAGTTAACGCTTGTTAGCGCGTTACACAAGTGCATGATTCCTTCGTCTCTTAACCAATTGTTACTGACGTTTAAGCTGGTTAATGTACAGTTAACGCTGGTTAGCGCGTTACACAAGTGCACGATTCCTTCGTCTCCTAACATATTGTTACTGACGTTTAAGCTGGTTAATGTACAGTCAATGCTGGTTAGTGCGTTACCCAAGTATACGATTCCTTCGTCTCCCCACCTATTCTCCCTGACGTTTAAGGTGGTTAATCCGCAGTTAACGCTGGTTAGCGCGTTACTCAAGAGCACGATTCCTTCGTCTCCTAATCTATTGTGACTGACGTTTAAGGTGGTTAATCTGCAGTTAACGCTGGCTAGCGTGTCACGCAAGTGCATGATTCCTTCGTCTTCTAACATATTGTGACTGACGTTTAAGCTGGTTAAATGGCAGTTAACGCTGGTTAGCGCGTTACTCAAGAGCACGATTCCTTCGTCTCCTAACCTATTGTGACTGACGTTTAAGGTGGTTAATCTGCAGTTAACGCTGGCTAGCGCGTCACGCAAGTGCATGATTCCTTCGTCTCCTAACATATTGTGACTGACGTTTAAGCTGGTTAAATGGCAGTCACTAATGATCAGCGCTTCACACAGGTGTTTTAATCCTTGATTTTGTAAACCAATGCCATACAGTGTCAAGCTGTAAAGTTCACTCTGAGGAAGCGCTGTACTCAAGTTCTCCAAACCTTCATCAGATATCCGACTCCTTGAGAGAATTAATCTGGCTACTTTCCAATCCCTGTTGGTGATCGCTTTACACAGTGTTATCAAATCAGGGTCGTACTCTGTTGGCCACCCATACAATATGCCTGAAATTGAACTGTATATCACTTCATTAGACACCTCCTCGTCCTCGTCCTCGTCCTCGTTATAAATTACACGAAAGCAGTACCATGGTTGTTTAGATATAGAGAGCTCATCCGTAAACAGCAGCACCACTTGCCATGCACCTTCTCTGATGTGAATAGTAAGGAATGCTTTCAATTCGTCTTTATCCATTGCTACACGTAATTCCTCCAAGGCACGAGGTGATTGGAGTACTAAAGGATTAAAACAAAAGAATAGTAATTTTTTTTACTTGAAAACATTACAGCGAAAAAACCTAACTTTACATTGTTTTTGTCTAAAAACTGACAAACCACAGAAAATACCTCGGCAAATTGGACACAAAAATAATTTCGAGTCTCCACGTTTCGACTTATTGTTGAATCATCCCAAGTCAAAGGAAACCAGTTGGGAAAACAAGGAGACGGACAGTATGAACAATAAAATGTCGTGCGATACCAAAAACATTAAGCCAAACCTTTTTTCTTCTTCTTTTCCAAGTCTTAAAATGTCAGCAAATCATTTGAGAAGTTGTAAATCATTGTCATAAGGTTTTATTCCAATAATATCTTTTCCCTCACTAGTAATCTAAAACTCTGCAGTCGAAAATGCCTGCGAGAGAAGTTGCTGGTGTTGTTTTTTTCCAAATCTGGTTTTAAAGTTTCAGAACATTTTCAAGAACACGAGAATAAAAATTGTTTTCGCTTTGCAAACATAATAACGAAGTATTCGTGTTGATAAATTGAAAGAGACGTCTTTTTCTTGAGAATACGATCATAAAGTACTTAGGTTACACCACATAAGCGACCAGTCTTAACATCAGAATTCTATGCACTTATGGACTGAGTAGAAGGCTCATGTGGGTCCAGCTTGATCTTACTCAGTCAATCAGATTTTTATTTCATGAACGCCGCTCTTCTCATTTTACTTCCTTCTCACGTGGACGCACGCTTGGCCTTGCAGCTTTTCATGCCCCTGCCAGCGTAACCGCGCACGGCCTTCATAAAAGGGTTCATTTATAAATCTTTTTTTTTTCCTTATTAGGAACGGGCATTAGACCGCGCAGGTCATTTGATGATTATATAAAGGTACCAGGTCTACAGAGAATGAAAAAACCCCAACACAAGATCACAAATCTGGGTTAAAAGAAAAATTCCTTGACCATTACACAAACCTAGCATTTCTCAATAGTCTTACCACCGAATATAGATAACTGGACATATGTTTCAAAGCCAATACAAGCTTATTTTAACAATGTTAAGTACCTTGCTTGCGGAAGTGAAGTTTGGCTGACTCATTTAATAAGTAGCTGACATAGTTCTGGAGTTCCTCGGGTAAACTGACATCAAACTTCGCCAGTCCTGATCTAATGGTCGGATACATGGCGTTCTCTAATGCTATCATGAAGGACACAAAAAGACACAAACTATTTTAGTACTTAAGGTGACATTCTCAGCTCAGAGAAATTATTAAAATGAGGAACTACTTAAAAGACAAAGTAAGAGTCAATGTTGTCATTAACTGTGAAAGATCACGGACAAGCTTGGGGTCAAATTTAAATTTGTCATTTAAAGATACCACCAACACGTTTTGTCGATCGTTTCCGACATGGAACATTCATGCAAAAGTTCTTTAATGCACGAGCTACACGAGGGTCTCAATGGGGTGATGGCTTTTATGGCTAACGGTTAAAATTTTGGCCATGTTAGGACTAACTTTTTCTTGTTAAGGAGTTAAAAAGAAACATTTCTTTGGTTAACTCTTTGTAATCTAACGTTATAGTTGAGGGAAAGGAGAGTTTGTCGAAAATTATCGCCCCGTGTCGTTACTTCCAGTGATCTCTAAAGTTCAGGAGCAGTGTGTGGCCTCGCGCCTTGTCCCTCACGTTAAGAAGATCTTGTATCCTTTTCAACATGGTTTTCAGAAGGGCAAGTCTTGCGTTACTCAGCTTATTGAAGTATTCTATGACATTGGTCATGCACTGGACCGCAAGTTAGAATCAGACATAATTTACTTGGACTTTGCCAAGGCTTTCGATTCTGTGTGCCCGGCAAAGCTCGTGTTGAAGCTAAAAACGTTTGGAATTGATGATCCACTACTCGCCTGGTTTTACTCATACCTAACTGGAAGGCGTCAAAGAGTGGTTACAAATGGAACTTTCAGTAATTGGACTGGCGTTGGGTCAGGTGTATCCTAGGGGTCACTTCGAGGACCGATTCTCTTTTTATTATTTGTAAATGACATGCCAAATGTAATTAATAGTGTGACGCTGGCTATGTTTGCTGACGATTCTAAATGTTATGGGATCATAAATAATGATGCTGATTTTTCGAAATTGCAGTAGGATTTAGTTTCACTTACAACTTGGTCCTTGTCAAATGAATTGTATTTTCAGCCTACAAAGTGCAGTAATCTGCGTATATCTAGGAAGCGTATTAGTTCATATCGTAGCTATAGTATAAATGGTATAGATGTGGAGGTTGTCTCTACTGAAAAAGATTTGGGGGTAGTGCTCGTAAATGACACCTCTCGGAAGGATCATATACTCATGATAGTTGCTAAAGCAAATAGGTTACTGGGCTTTATTAGAAGGAGCTGCGCAGGAATTGTTGGCAGTGTTCCGCCGTTGCGTCTTTACTGTTCATTAGTGTGTTCGCACTTTTGCTATTGCTCTCAGTTATGGGCACCACAGTCTGTTATGAGCAATTTATTCTTAGTTAAAAATGTGCAAAAAAGAGCTACACGCTTTATACTAAAAAGAAATAGTAGTAACTTATCTTATAAGGATCGCTTAATCAAACTGAAGTTATTGCCGCTTAATTACTGGCTTGAATATCTCGACTTAGTTTTCTTTTTTAAATGTCTTCATGGTCATATTGATCTAACTTGTTCATTTAATTACTATTTTTCCTTTGTTAAGAGTCAGATGCGTCAAGCGTGCTCAGGGCTGAACTTTAAGATTAATAAAAATCATACATCAACATTTCGGGACTTCTATTTTAATAGGATAGCAAATTTGTGGAACAATATACCTAATAATGTTAGGCAGGCTGAGTCTACTGACTCTTTTAAGCGTAAACTTAAGTCGTTTTATTTCAAGAGACTTTTCAACGTTTTTGATGGAGACTACTTTCTTACCTTTAAAATAATTTGTCCTAAATGTCGCCGGGTAAATACCCTTGTTGCGTGCACTTGTTAAACAGCCTATTTAGTCTATTCATATTATTAAGTTATTTTAGGAGGGGGTTGGGTTGGAGCTTAAACCTAGTAGGGAACTCATGTCCTATTGTTTTTGTTTCGGTACTGCTTTGTACAAATCCTTAAATCAATAAATAAGTTAAGGATCTTGGAATTCACATCAAATCAAATCTATCATGGAGCCTGAAAACAAAGCAAACAGCGTGCTCCGATTTATAAGTCGAACAAAGGGCCCCAGGAATCCTAAATTGTTCTCGAAATTTTACATGAGTTTAGTACGTCCAATACTTCAGTACTGCTCTCCAGTGTGGTCTCCACACCTCAAAAAGGATTCGGCTATTTTAGAGAAAGTACGACGCAGAACACCTAGATATGCAATCAGAAACATTGCCCGAGATATGTCATATGAAGAAAGCTTAAAGGTCCTTAAATGGCTAACTCTACATCAGAGAAGATTATTTTCTGCGCTTACTGAGTGCTTTAAGACGGCTAACAGTCTTAACGAGCTACACCTATTTGAGTATTTTACATTTGCACATGATTTTCGACCGTTAAGAACCAACCATCGCCATAAACTTAAACCATTGCCCGCAAAGCTAAACAGTTTTAAGTATTCTTTCTGTGCAAATATAGTCAATGAATAGAATAATTTACCTAAAAAAGTTGCAGAGGCAGAAACTCCGAACATTTTCAAGAACAGAGTCAGACGCCATTTTAATAATGTTTTAGGAAATTTTTAACTATTTTACTGCAATTTTTAATTATTTTAGGAGACAAACTTGAAATAGGTAACCTCTTTCGCTTCCTTTTTACTTTTCATTAAAATTTGAATTGTGAATAAACAGTTATGTTATGTTAAGACTAACGGTTGAAATTCGTAAATTTTTACGACTAACAGCAAAATGTTTTTGCTATATTTTACGGTTAACAGTTAGCCCCATTGAGACCCTCCTACATGTATTACAGTTCACTGACATGCATTAGTACTACATGCACTATTGAAGCAGCAATATGGTAAAGCTAATAACCTCTGGTAGCGCGATGTGGTCATCGTAACTCTGAGGTGGCTTACACAAAGGCTCCTCAACGTTCGACACACAAACTCAATTTACAAACTTCATGTGTACACCTTGTTCTGAATTAGAGCACAATTTGACGCTTGCGGGGCCTTAACACATCAAGGTTGTAAATGGATACGATTAAAAATGGCTAAGCACTCTGATAAAATGCTAGAGTTGTATCCAAGATTCACGACAGTACCGCGCACGTGATGCACGTGTAAATCCCGAGGACTGCAAGCGCGCACCACGAAACTACACATAACATGAAACAGTACCTGTAATTTTGCATATGTACCAAAATTTGAAAGTTTCTAAGACCAGGATGAGCTTATCCTAAGAAGCTAGTTATTTTTTAACACGTGCTAAAAAGAAGTTCACTTTTGCCGGGTATTTTGTTTCTTTTCTTCTACAATATTTTTTTCTAGTGCAATGTGAGGTTGTCTCCTTTCTACATGACGGCTGATTGCTGGATTGCTAGGATTTACCACTCGTGAAAACAGTCTCCATCTAAGTGCTGGGTGCCAATGTAGTAATGTAATTTACGTCTTAGGCCTCTAATGAGCATTGCAATTGTTAATAATTAATGCAGAAAAAGACTGCACGTGCAGGAGTTCCGTGGAAAAAGATACTTCGATAAAGAAGTGGGAGTGTTTAATAGCATTCTACTAAAATGGTTTTTTCTCTAAATGTGCATTATTTATTCACCTTCCATCTTGACTTTCTCAAGTTCCTGGCGTAGTCTAGTTGCTGTTTCAATGATGGAAACAGGGGGAGGTGAACTACCTGAGAGAAGAACTAAACAACAAAAAGGTTTAAAGAATTTTTAAACACCATTCTTGGTTGGTAACATTATATAAGAGGAGGGGTTATATTAAATATGGAGTAAATACATATTATTCAACGCTTCAACATGTAATGAGCAGCGCAGATGTTTTGCAAGTTGCATGCAGGGCTGAGATATTTGAGAGAAAATACTAGTAACCCTTTATAACAAACTCAGAGAAAGTGTTTCACCTTTCAGCTTGTTACTTAAAAAATCAAGCCTGAAATACTACTATAACCATTTCCTTGCATCACTTTCCATATTTCGTTTGCCCTTTTCAACGCAGCCAATACGCATGTTTCACTCACCTTCCTTTCTTTTTCTTTCAAATCGTTCTAGTTCATCTTCAAGATCAGCAGTAAAGAGTTCAGGGGGAGGCAAAGTACCTGAAGGGAAAGGTAAACAGAGAGATACACTGTATTTAGCATTCAGTGCCTTACCTCGCATAAATGGTTAAAAACAGGCATTTAACAAACACTTCACATTGTACTAGGCTCATGTGAAGAACTGAAAGTATTAGATAACTATCTCACTTAATAATTATAAAGGAAGAGGGATCATCTTTACTAAGGAATAGTTTCCCTTGAAAATGTATAATTTGAATAAGGAGTGGAAGCATTCATCAATAGTAATAAAATCAGATAACAGATTATTTTAAATAAGGAACAATTTTCCTTGAAAAGTGATAATTCGATACGGGGGTGGAAGCCTTTAATGGCATTCTTAGAATTATTTCTTTCTGATAGTGAATCAATAAACATTTTATATTCACCTTCCATTCTGAGCCTCTGAAGCTTCATGCACAGTTCAGCTAGTTTTTTCTTAAGATCAATGGTTGAAAGTTTAAGGACAGAAAAACTACCTGAGAGCAAAGGTACATAGAAATATATTTAACACTTAGTGCCTCACCTGATATAAAAAGTTAAAGCATGATAACATGTATCGAGGTCAAGTGAAAGAACAATGATGTAAGTTTTCCATTATATCTATCTATAAGTAATATTTCATTATCACATGCCACAGCTAATTTAATACTACCTTAAACTGAAGTTGTGGATTAAGAGACAAAACTGAATTGAAAATATTTTCCTCAACAAAACAAAGTTACCGATTAACAGCTGAGAACATTTCACAGCATTCTTAGATGAAAGTAAAGACAAAAAATGGTTAATATCTCAGGTAGGGAATAATTTCTCTTAAAGTGTGTACTGGAAAAAATATGAATTCATTTCATGGCATTGAGCTATTTACATGGCTAAAATATTTAAAAAATATAGAAAGCAAACTTTTTCGACACTAGGTTATCATCACCCTGATGATGACCTGGTTTCGAAAATGTTTGGTTTTTACCTATTAAATATCTTAGCTTATTTTTTAAACCTAAGCAAACTTTATGGACAGTTATTAGCATTCTTGTACCAGTTTCTATCTAAAAATGACAAGATATGAATTTTTCTATTCACCTTCCATTCTCAGCATCCTAATTTCCTCAAATACTTGCTCTAGCTTTTCCTTAAGATCAGTGGTGGGGAGAGAATGGAGAGAACCTGGGGGTAAAGGTATACAGAGCTTTTCAAAATTCAGTGTCTGACTTTAAACATAAAAGATAACAACAGATATACTTGTGCAAATTGCAAATTATTGTCATATTAAAGTAAAACAGTGTAAGTTCTTCATTATAACTCCACGATCATCGTTGAAAACAACTATTGTGTATTTTTACCACATGCCGACTCTATACCATCCTTAGCTAAAGTAGAGAGTGAAACAATGTCAAATTTGGATTAGTCTACAGTTTACTCTAGCCTTGCGTACCCCTCACTATTACAGACACCTCGCCACTGCAAACAATAGCCAGCCCCTGGGGAAAAGCATGAAGAAATGACTGAAATAAATTCCCTTTAAAACGGACTCTTCCTTTCACCGAAAAGCAGACACTTTCAAGCCCCCCAGCACGAAGTTTCACTTGTTCTTTTCTCTTGCTATAACAGACACTTAATGCTTCATTCAAAATCCTAACAAACATACTATAAAGCGACATTATGAAAAAGGAAAAAAAAGAAACCATTCTTCAACAGGGTGTGAACATGAGAATTTCCTGCTTGCGGCCAGATCTCTTTCCCGTTTGTGAGGCCACGTTGGAAACTTTATTTCATATGTTAAGAAACAAAACAATTTTTTATCTCTCGTACTCCGTTATTACGGCCTAAATGGTTAATGGCCTATGCTCCAACCGGAGCTAAGGGAATATATATACTCCGTTATTACAGACTTTTCGCTATTTCAGACATTTAATCTCCCTGCGAGGGTGTCCATAGCAATGGGAGTCAACCCTCAGGGGTAGGGTACAAAGTGAAATTCATGGTGTTACTTTTAATAGCGACACGATAACAGGTCAAACCAACATGCGATTAACTGATTGTATATGATGTACAAAATATATCTAAACTATATAATTGTCAGTTTTTTAAGGCATAATTTAAGATCAACAACGATAAAACTTAGTTTATCATTATATGCTGTTTCACCATCCTCAGCCTCTACCATCTTAATGTTCCCTTCCAGCAAAACACAGAGTGAGGGAAAACTAAATTGGGTGAAATTTCCTTTCAAAAAAATATTTTGAATGAGAACTAAATGTATTTAAAAGCATTCTTGGTTTAGTTTTACCACAAAATTTAATTTAACAGCATATTTTTATTCACCTTCCATTATTTGAAGTTTCTTACATAGCTTTTCTAGTTCTTCTTCAAGATCAAAGGTGGAACATCCAGAAATGGGCAACATGCCTATAAACAAAGGTATGTAGAGAGATATTACCATTTCTACTAATTTATAGTTGGGAAAAGGCATACCAACTTGCATTTAAAGATACTAGTAGGTACATACACACTGTAGATTACCTTCATTTAAAAACAGAAGCTTTAAAACCCCCCCAAAAAAAGCTGTTGAGAACAACTGAAAAAGTAATCACTCTACATGTATGTAACGTTTCCTTAATTTATTGCATGGAAACTCAGCACTACCTTTAACTAGAGAAGAGAATGAGGCAAAAACACATGTTAAATAATTTGCATTGACAACTATCATTTTTCATAACTGGTGACGGAAGCATTCTTGCTTATTATTAACATTAATTTCTATTGTAAAAGATGACTAAAACCACATTCAGGTTCTTTTTTCATTTCTCATTTTTTTCCCTGAAGTTTCATAGCTTCACTCCTACAACTTTTTAGGTCAATTAACACACGGATGAATTCTTCCACTTCTTCAATGTCAATTCATCAAAACAACAAGTCAGTGATTTGCTATGTTGTTTTCCTTTTTTTTCTTGGAGCATGTCAGGGGGAACTGAACCCAAACTGGAACCCATGCTAGACTTCAACAAGTCAGCAAAAACAACTGAAAGTAGTAAGCCCCACATCTTTTTATTCATTTCAAGGTAGTTTGATATCAGTTTTAAGGGTAGATCAACTAAATCCACTTAAAAGCCAGTACTTTTCCCAATAACAAAGGGAAAAACTCAACAAACATGAAGAACATTAAATAGTCGATAACTTGCAATACAATACAACTTTTTACTTGGCTTACTGGTCGTAGCTGAACATAATGAGCAACATGTTTCAATTACATTAACTTCAAAAATAAGTTCAAACTAAGCATCCTGTTCACCTTTCCTTCCCCAAGGTTCTTCTAGTTCTTTTCCATGACCAGTGGTCGGTATCACAATGAGGGGTGAAGTACCTAAGGGTAAACAATGCCGAGAGAGATTAGCATTCACAGCTTCTCTTCAAATGTTTTGTTCTCATAATTGGAACTATGCACAATTATATTAATTAACTGATGCCACATCATTGCACTGAGATAATTCTTCAAGCACTTATAACATAACCGTTATTACTGCTCACAACAGCTTTCCATATAAATTAATACAATTTTTTTCAATTTCCTTATCACCTTCCAATTTCTCTGTCTCCATAATCTTTGTCTTCTGTTCACTTTTTTCCCATTGTTCTTTTTTTTGGAGCCTTTCACTGGTTGAACTTGTGGAGTGGAATTCAGAGGATAAACCACCTAAAACCAGATTTACAAGAGGACAAACATTTTGAACCATAAACATACCTCAAACTATTTTTAAAAACACCGAACGCGTAAAAACTAGAAAAATATTCTTTCATAGCCCCTCCAAAGAAAATCTTGCAAAAATCTGTTAAGAATTTTGAAGAAAAATTTTTTCAGTTGACCATTTTTACGGCTGACAGTTGAAATTTGTCAATTTTTATGCCTAACGGCAATTTTTTTTTTTTGGCCATTTTACGGTTAATGGTTAACTACATTGAGACCCTCCTACATGTGCTAAGGTTTAATGACTAAGCAATTATATACATATATATGTGTGTGTAAGTGTGTGTGTGTGTGTGTGTTTTGTTAACCAAGCATGAGGTCAAGATGGCTGAATATTGGCCTTGTTCTTTTTCTTGTATTTTTATGGACCAAGACGAACTCGAGGTCCATAAAAACACAGAAAGATTTCGCTTTATTAAGAATCAAGAATGCCTTGTTTATTTCAGGAGCACGGGAAGAAAGCCAACTGTGTTTGTAGCACAATAAACCCACGCGAGTCATTCATGATGTCCTCGTTTTGACAGTCATCTGTCCCTTTTTTCCACCTCCATCATCGAGATTTGTAAGTCACCTTAGCACAGTGTTTTTCTTGTGCGGGATCTAAGCGGGAAATCCCAAGGGGGTAGCTTAGTTAGTCAATCCCAACACAGGATTCTCTTCATATTACCCACAGGTACGGGAAGCGATAGTATAAGGTAAAGTTAGTAGCGTCAGGTAGCACATGTGATTATTGTAACTCTATGGTAGCTTCCACAAAGGCTCTTCAACGTTCAAGCAACAAAATCCAAGTTAAAAACTGCATGTGTACACTTTGTTATGGCTTTGACCCGGACAATAAAGTTTGCAGTGCCTTAACAAACTGAAGGGTGTAAATGGATACATTAAAAACGCCTTGGCAATCTGATAAAATGATGGAGTAGTATCCACTACAATACCGCGCACTTGACACTTGTGCAGATCTAAACCACTGCACGCGCGCACCACGCAAACTGTGCATAACATGAAACAGTGCCTATAATTTTGCATATGTAGCAAAATTTTAAAGTTTCCAGGACCAGAATGAGCTTATCCTAAGAAGCCAGATATTTTTTTTAACATGCACTGAGAAAAAATTCACTTTTCCCTGGTATTTTGTTCCTTTTCTTCTACAATTTTTATTTTCTAGTGCAATGGAAGGTTTTCTCTTCACTACATGACGGCTGATGGCTGGGTTGCCAGGATTTACCACTAGTGAAAACAGTGTCCATCTAAGTGCTGGGTGCCAATGGAGGAACATAATTGATGTCTAAGGCCTCCAATAAGCATAGCAATTGTTAATAATTACTGCAGTAGAAGGCTGCATATGCAGGAGTTCCCTGGAAAAAATTTTACGGTACCGTTTGCGTATATGTTAACTGCGCAGACGAATTACGTACGCTCAGACTCAGGGTAGTCAGACGCGCATATACGATTGCTTTGCGCGCACGGTCGAAAAAATGCTCGACTCATGTGCCTTTGTTACTCAGTGCTATAAATTTCCTTTGTATTTCATCGTTGTGTAAAACAAAGAAATTTTAGGTTTGAGAATGCGACGAGTCGACAACGGAAAACTTACGTAATGAAAAAAGCTATAATGTTCCACTGACGCATGTCGCATTGGTTCGCGAATTTATCGAAGAACGAGCAGTAGCAGTAGATTTGCTTGATTTGAGTTGTGGATAAATCAGTTGGGAAGGAAAATGTCACTTACATCGAAAAGCATCGAAACACGCGTACAATTAAGCGAGTAACGAAGCAAATACTCACTAATATTGCTTCCCAATTTCTTCATTGCAATTAGCGTTCCCTTGAATGCTTGTGCAGCGGAATGTGAACTATTTGGTGTTCTCATCGCTGGTGATGATTTCCTCGAAACTTCGAACTTACCTCGATCACCTTCGATGAGGATCAGAAGCAATACCATTTAAGATTGTGAATGATGTTTCATTTTATTTATTGCAATCGGCGCTCGCTTCAGCGTTTACGCACAGAAATGTAAACAGTTTCATTTCGCATCACAATATATTACTACAATGAAAGGTCAAGTTATAGTAAATCGCAATGCCAAAGACGAAGATTCGAAGATAATAACCTAAAATACTGGCCTACTCCTGCTGAAAGCCCGGACATGAATCCTTTAAAGCTCCCCTGACACGAACTGAAAACATTCGCTTGCGTCGCGTTGTCAAGCCAACTAACAAGGACGAACTTCTCGCGGACATACATCGGTTCAGGGACTCTGGGACTGCTGCTGAGTGCTGTAAATACAATAGCCACCTCCGAAAGTTACTTTTACTGTCGACCAACGCGAAGGAAGAGAGTTGTAACAGCTTCCTTTAATGAAAAAACGGCTCCTTTAGGAGCCACCAATTTTCCAAAAGTCCTGAATTACTGTGTTGAGTGACATAAGTATCGCCGTATTGATGTTTTGTCTAATTGCACGCGTCTGCGAGTCTTATACAAACTTGAACTAAATGCATCCTGTATTGAATTTTTCCCTTCGCTTTTATGAGCAATTTGGTGAACATCGCTCAATGATTTTACAAATATTAAACAAGAAGCAAATCCGGTTTCCAATATGCATATGGGTAAGAACAACACGTAGTCGTTACAGGTAACCATACTGTAACACAACACCATTAAAATAAGCTAGTAGAACTTATAAATTTTTGTATAAATGGCGCGATGAATAAACCAGTTTTCGAGAAGAGCATGTTCATCGATGACAAAGCTATGAAATAAACATTCGCGCGTGGGTTTGCATTAAGAATGCGAAAACTGGTTACAAAGTGACGCTTTAGCTGGTCTACCGAATTACAATACACCGAGAACGAATTCTAAAGCCGGATGTTTTTTTTCATACGAAGTGAAAAATGTTGATTAAAGAATTCCGTTGGAAAATGATAAATCATTCACATATTCTGATTACGAAGTCGCAGTAGTTTGTAACAGCATATCGGGAAGGTCGGTTAGAATGGTCATTGAAACGAACAAGTTTTCTTGTCATTGGTAGCAGTGTAGTATTTTAGTCCTGTTACATTGTAGCCAAAAATAGCATGCAATTGCGAATTTAAAAAAATGTGCACATAAAAAAATCGCACGTGCGCGCATAACCTTGATACGTCTGCCTCTTTAGAATATATGAGATAATCCTTTTGTTTTTCTATTCTATTACTTCCATTTTCTATTTTGTCTATTCGTTTTTCTATTTAGCCTAACGGTAAACCGCCAACAATAGAAAAACAAAAGGATTACCTCATATATACTAACGAGGCAAACGTAACAAGCTTATGCGCGCATGTGCAGTTTTTTGACGCGCACATTTTTTAAAATTCGCATTTGCATGCGATTTTTGGCGCGTTTTATTCGCGTTTTTTGGTTAATTTATACACGAGCGGTAATGTAATTCTACAAGGAACTGGAAATATTCTAATAGCATTCTAGTACAATTATTTACTCTCTAAATGTGCATTATTTATTCAAATTCGATCCGCCATTTCTGAAATTTCTTGAGTAGTTCGTCTACTTCTACTTCAATGGTGGAAAAAGTGGGAGGTAAACTACCTGAGAGAAGGCAGCAAAATGGTATGAAGCATTTAACAGCATTCTTGGTTGATAGCATTATATAAGAGGAGGGGTTAGTTCATTCCATGTTTTAACATGTAATGAGTGGTGGAGATATTTCGCAAGTTGCATGCAGGACTTAGATATTTGAGGGAAGACAATATAATTAGGAGTCCTATATGACAAACTAAAACCTTTCAGCTTGTTACTTAGAAAAACAAGCCTAAAATACTAGTGCAACCATTTCCTTGCATCACTTTCCATATTTCTTTTGCCCTGTTCAACGGAGCCAATACACATGTTTTACTCACCTTTATCTCTTTGTCGCTCAAGTTCTGTGAGTAGTTTTTTTAGTTTTTCTTCCGGATCAGCAGTTAAGAGTGCAGGCGAGAGAAAAGTATCTGAAAGGAAAGGTAAACAGAAGGATACACTGTATTTAGCATTCAGTGCCTTATTTCACATAAATGATTAAAAACAGGCATTTAACTAGCACTGTACATTGTGTTGGGGTCATGTGATAGCACAGTTATAGTGTCAGTTTTCTGATTAATCTCCTATGGTCATTGTTGAAATCAACCATTTAGAAAAATTGTCTCATCATAATAAGCCACAGCCAACTTAATACTCCCTTTCACCACAGCACAGAATTAGCAAAAACTAAATTAAGAAAAATTTCATATAAAAGCTAACACTTTACATAATAGCCAAAAGTATAGGACAGCAATCTCACTTAATAACTATAAAGGAAGAGGGATCATCTTTACTCAGGAATAGTTTCCCTTGAAAATAAATGAATTGAATAAAGAGTGGAAGTATTCATCAATAGTAATAAAATAAGACAACAGATTCTTTTAAATAAGGAATAATTTCCCTTGAAAAATTATATTTTGATACAGGGGTGAAAGCCTTTAATAGCATTCTTGGATTTATTTCTCTCTGATAATGAATCGATAAACATTTTATATTCACCTTCCCTTCTGAGCCTCTGAAGCTCAGTGCGTAGTTTAGCTAGTTTTTTCTCAAGATCAACGGTTGAAAATTGAAGGACAGGAAAACCACCTGAGAGCAAAGGTACACAGAAATATATTTAGCACTAAGTGCCTCAACTGATATAAAAAGTAAAGGCATAATAACATCTATTGATGTGAAGGGAGAGAACAATGAAATAACCTATCTTTAAGTATTTTTTCATTATCACATACCACAGCCAATTCAATACTACTTTTAACTGAAGTTACGGATTTAGAGGCAAAACTGAATTGAAAATATGTTCCTAACCAAAACTAAGTTACTGAATAACAGCTGAGAGCATTAAACAGTATTTATGGACGAAAGTAAAGACAGAAAAAGGTTAATATCTCAGATAGGGAATAATTTCTCTAAAAAGTATTTACTGGAAAAAATATCAAAACATTTAATGCCAATGAGCTATTTACATGGCTAGAATATTTAATCTTCCTAGTGATGTTTACCTAGTGTTGATAATGTTTGATTTTTTACTTTTTCAAAAGTAAAAGTAGATTACCTTTATTTGAACAAAAATGCTCTAAAACCGAAAAAAATCTGTTGAGAATAACTGAAAAACTGTTCAGTCTACATGTTTAAAATGTTTTGTAAATATCATCTTTAGCATGTCATCTTCAAATTCCTTTAACTAGTCGATCCGAGAGGGGTTCTTGGTAGACTTGAAGTCGTATGTGTCTTAAGAGCATGTGGTCGTATCAGGGTTGAAGAAGAAATAAGCTTTCCAGTGCATTCTGCGTAGAAACTACTCGATTTTTTCGACGAGGCGTTGTGAGAAATCGTTCTGCGATGGTTGAATATTCCTCTACCATCACGAAACAACTTCTTACGACGCCTCGTCGAAAAAACCTCGGCAAATTTTCTGTTATCTGTTTCTCTGGGTGTGGCGTTTGAAATGAAAAGTCTGATGTTGATGTTTCGAAGTTGGGAAAGGAGGAAGGCTTCCTACTAGCTCGCATGTTTCGGCACCGTCGTAGCTGCCCATTGGGACGTCAAATGCTGTATCGACCTTCTTTTACCAAGGTTGCTGTTTGTGCATAAGGATCGAATGTTTTGCATGTGTTACATGATGTTTCTTCGTCGTTGGTGATGTCGTAGGTTGACGCAAAGTCGAGTACTCTGTTCAGGAGGTCTTGGCTAATGGAGGGATAGAATTCTTCGATGTCAGAGCAAATAAAACTGTGGTGCTTTTTTGTTTTTAATGGCTTTAAACCATTCGATCACAGATGCCGTGTTGCTCTCGTGATTTTGTTGATGATTCTGTCGAGGATTGCTTAGCTGCCAATCTCGGATTTGGTGGGGCTGATTAGTCGGCAGGTCGGTTTGTTAACGAAGTTCGGTTTGTAGTCTCCTAGAGTTAAAGAATGATACAGTACCCCTCGCGTATGTGTTAACTGCGAAGACGAATTACATACGCTCAGACGCACGGTAGTCAGGCGCACATATACGATTTTTTTGCGCGCACGGCGGAAAAAAATGTGCAACTCATGTGCCTTTGTATTCAGTGCTATAAGTATCCTTTGCATTACATTGGTGTGTAAAACAAAGAACTTTTAGGTTTGAAAATGAGACGAGTCGACAACGGAAATTTACATCATGAAAAAAGCTATAATGTTACACTAAAGCATGTCGCATCGCTTCGCGAATTTATGGAATAACGAGTAGAAGCAGAAGATTTGCTTGACTTGAGTTGATGATGAATTAGCTGGGAAGGAAAATGTCACTTACACAAGGCATCGAAACACGGGTATAATTAAGCGAATAACGAAGCGAATACTCACTAATATTGCTTCCCAATTTCGGGCAACCCTAAAAGCCGGAACGGCCGAACGGCGGAATGGCGGAATATAGGTAAAACAGCCCCATACTATTGTAAAACAAATCTGTTTTCCTGATGGCAATGTATTGTTTTTGTCGTTGTTTTCTCTATCCAAGAACTGAATGAGTAATGTAGTATGGGGCTGTGCGGAAATTTTACCGAAAATGACCCCAAATCCTAAAACACGGAACAGATGTTAAGGCATGTTGCGCGAACTGTTTGAACAAAGACTCTCAAGCGCTTGGCACATTCATCCCCACAATGATAAAGCGCGTGACTAAAATTAAATGTTATTAACTTTTTTTCTTTTACTGAGTGGTATGAATAAGAATGAACCATTAAGCATAAAAGATGGCTGCGTTTTCGCGTTGTAAACCTGTTTAAATACCTTTTATTATGCTAAGTTTTCCATGAGATTTAGTCGCGGCATAAAAAGTCGCACAGCATGTGAAAACCGACTTGACATACAATAAACAATTGCAACTTTGACGATCATGTCTAAAAGTACGCACGAGTGACCACGAATGACCACGAGTGAAAAAGCGGGAAAAAGTTAATCATTAACCAAAAAAACAATAATAAGAAAAATATTGCAGTCAATTTAATGGGAAATATTAAAGGAAAAAGAACTGTAGCCCTCATTTTAATAAAAACCCCGAATAAAATGAAAAAAGATAAATGCTCCGATGTTCCCTTTTTCGAATCATTTATTGACAGTGCATGACACGTGATTTTATTGTAAGTTTTTATGACAGCTCATGCCAAGATCTAAATTTCCTTGTATTCTGTAATAAGTAAAGTCTAGTTGTCAGCGCTTCATTCATAGTTTGACCTTTAGGCCGTCGACTGAAGTAACGCGATCGTATCGTTTTGCCGAAATAAATAACTTTTGACAATGTTTTAAGGATCTATTTATTATATTAATGTATTAATTATACTAAATATATATTTTTTATTAGTCATTCATAAAGCTTAAAATACCTTTTTTTCGGTTGTCTAAATCAGCCCTACAGTTCTTTTTCCTACAATTCTTTTTCCTTTAATATTTCCCATAAAATTCACTGTAATATTTTTCTCATCTAATCAATTATTTTTGTTTTAGTTAATGATTAATTTTTTTTCGCTTTTTTTACCCGTGGTCATTCGTGGTCATTCGTGGTCATTCGTGGTCACTCGTGGTCATTCGTGGTCACTCGTGGTCACTCGTGGTCACTCGTGTGTACTTTTAGACGTGATCCATTTAATGTTTCCCTTCCCTTTTTCGAGCAATTTGGTGAATATCTATCGATGATTTAACAAATATTTAAACAAGAAGCAAATCCTGTTTCCGATAAAAAGTTGCTAACGAGTAAGAACAAGACATTGTCGTGACAGGTAACCTTACTGTAACACAACACCATTAAAATAAGTTTGTGGAACTCAGTTATTAGTTTTTGAATAAATGGCGCGATGAACGAACCGGTTTTCGAGAACAGCATGTTCACCGATGATAAAGCTATGAAATAAACATTCGAAAAGAAATCTATCTGAGAGCAAATGTACACAGAAATATATTTAGCACTTAATTCCTAACCTGATATAAAAAGTAAAGGCATAATAACATCTATTGAGGTCAAGGGAGAGAACAATGAAATTAGCTATCTCTAAGTATTGTTTCATTATCACATGCCACGGCCGATTCAATATTACTTTTGACTGAAATTATGGATTTACATGTACAGTGGCAAAACTGACTTGAAAATATGTTCCTTGACTAAACTAAGTTACTGAATAAAGCTGAGAGCATTTAACAGTATTCTTGGATGAAAATTAAGACAGGAAAAGGTTAATATCTCAGATAAGGAATAATTTCTCTCAGAGGAATTTACTAGAAAAAAAGGTGAAAATATTAAAAGGCATTGAGCTATTTACATGGCTAAAATATTTAAAAAGTAATAAAAACCAAACATTTTCAACACTAGGTCATCATCATCCTGATGATGACCTAGTGTCAAAAATATTTGGTTTTTACCTATTTAATATGTTAGCTCATTTTAAAACAAAGCAAACTTTATGGACAGCATTCTTGGATCAGTTTCTCCCTAAAAATGATAAGAAATGAATTTTTCTATTCACCTTCCACTCTAGGCATCTTAAGGTTCACACATACTTGTCCTAGCTTTTCTTCAAGATCAATGGTGGAGAGAAGTGGGGGAGATGAAGAACCTGGGAGCAAAGGTATACAGAGCTTTTCAAAATTTAGTGTCTTACTTTACACAGAAAAGATAACAACAGGTACACCTGTGCAAACAGCAAATTATAGTCATATTAAAGTAAAATAGTCTTAGTTCTCTATTATAACTCCAATGATCATTGTTGAAAACAACTATTATGTATTTTTACTGCATGCCAACTCAATACCATCTTTAGCTAAAGTAGAGAATGAGACAATGCCAAATTTGGATTAACCTACAGTTGACTCTAGCCCTGTGGTCACCTCACTATTACAGACACCTTGCCACTGTAGACAAGAGCCAGCCCCTGGAGATTAACACATACAGAAATGACTGAAATAAATTCCCTCTATAACAGACTCTTGCTATTGCAATGATGCAGACTCTTTCCTGCCCCCCAGCATGACTTTTCACTTGTTTTTTCTCTCGCTATAACAGACACTTATTTACTCTGTCCAAAATCATGACTAGCATACTATGAACTGACATTATGAAAAATGGAAATAAAGAAACCATTCTTCAATTGGGTGTGAACATATGAAATCTTCTCCTTACAGCCAGATCTTTTTCCAGTTTGTGGAAACTTTATTTCACATGTTAAGAAACAAAACAAATTTTTATTTCTCTTGTACCCCATTATTACAAACTTTTTGCTATTACAGACACTAAATCTCCCCCCAAGGGTGTCCACAGTAATGGGAGGCAACCTTAAGGGGAAAAGTACAAAGAGGAATTGATGGTGTTACTTTTAATAGCAACATGATAACAGGTCAAACCAACATGCCGTTAAATGATTGTATTTGATGTACAAAATCTATCTAAACTACATCACAGTCAGTTTTTAAGGCATAATTTAAGATCAACACTGAAAAAACTAAGTCTATCATTAAACACTGTTTCACCAACCTAGCCTCTACTATCTTAATATTCTCTTATAGCAAAACACAGAGTGACGGAAAACTACATTGGGTGTAATTTCCTTTCCAAAAAAATATTTTGAATGAGAACTACATGTATTTAAAAGCATTCTTGGTTTAGTTTTACCATCAAAGTCAATTTAACAGCATTTTTTCACTCACCTTTCATAATTTGAAGTTTCCTGAGTATGTCTTCTGGTTCTTCTTCAGAATCAGAGGTGAAGGATTCCACCTCTGATTCTTCAGAATCAGAGGTAGAAGATCCAAGGAGAGGCAACATGCCTAAAAACAAAGGTATACAGAGGGAGATTAGCATTTCTTCTGATAAATAGTTTAAAACAAGCATACCAACTTGTAGCTAAGGATAAATTTAAAAAAGCTGTTGAAAACATCCATTTGAAATACACACATACAGTACAATTATTGTTTTCATTCCACAAACCAACTCAAATTCCCTTTAACATAAGTAGAGAATGAGGCACAATCATGTTTGGAATAATTTACATTTATGTATTTTACACTATTTACAGCAATATTAGTATTCAAGGTGTTACTTTCATTTGAGAGATGATAACACGTCAAACCAACAAGTCATGTGACCATCTCTTTAAAGTACATGAAATTTATCTTAATTACAAAATTCAGGGAAAACTAAATTGGGTTTTAATTTCTTTCAAATTAATCTTTTTAATGAAGAAGTGAGAATATTTCAAATAATTGTCAGTTTAGTTTTACCCTAAAGACCCTTACAACCTTAAATGTTTAATCCCAAAAGCACACTTCTTTACACTTGACATAATAACTGAACACACTGAACATATTCACTACTAACAGATATTTATTCAAACTGAGCTTCCTGTTCACCTTTCCCTCCCTGTGCTTTTCCTATAAGTTCTTTTCCATGACCAGTGGTGGGTATTACAGTGAGGGGTAAAGTACCTAAGAACAAAAAGTACAGGGAGAGATTAGCATTCACAGCCTCTCTGCAGATACGCTGTAAGTTGTTCCCCATAAGTTGTACTCTTAAAATAATACTAACACCACATTACTGCATTGAGATAATTCTTCAAAGCTTTGTCAAATAATAAATTATTATTACTGTTCACAAAAACTTTCCATAATAACTTAATACATCTTTTAATTTTGTTTTCACCTTTCAGTTTCTCTGTCTCAACAATCTTTGTCTTCTGTTTCCATTTTTTCAGCTCTTCTTGATTTTGTGGACTTTCACTGGTTGAACTTATGGAGTGGAATTCAGAAGATGAGGCACCTAAAACCAGATTTAAAAGAAAACAAATAATGGGGCAACCACTAAATACTGACATTCAAAACCATACAACACACCTCAAATCATTTTTATAAAAACCCCACACACAAATACAGGTAACATTTTCTTTTATAGCTCCTCCAACTAAAATCTTGCCAATTTTTATTTTAGCTTGTTTTATTTTGTTTATATTTGGAGCCAAAGATAAATACAAGCAGACAGAAAGGAAAATATACTAGGAAATTTCTTGAAAACAAATCACTTCTAGCAACAGATTGTCATTGTATACATAGTAAGCATGAGCTTAGTCATGAAACAATTGGTTGAATATCTTGGTCAAAACCTGGACCCCCTCTACACCTCTGTTAACCCTATGGTGCACCATGTTGAATGAGTGATGCATTGTGTTTTTATTCATTTCAAAACATTTTTCTGAAAGACCAGGCCTTTTTCTTTCTTTCAACTGACCTCTGAGTGCATCCTTCTCAAGAAAGTACAGTTTGTATGCATTGTACTCTTCTGTGTCCATCGTTGTTTTCAGCTTCAGTTCTGCCAGGTTAAGTTCCTTCAAGATCTTTTCAGTTACAAAACAATCTCGTACCATCTTATCCAAAAGGCCACAAGAGTAATCGTCCCATAATTCCTCCAAGCTCGAGAGAGAATCACACTTTACTGTTATCACCAGACTTCCCACAGAAACACCTATGATGAAGACCCTCATTTCTTGTAAGTATTTCTTAAACTCATTGTGTTCATCCCTGCTCTGTGCTGGTGAAGTATCAAGGTAATTCATGGCAATTAAGCACAAGACTTTCTTTTTGAGTGGTTGGGGATCTTCTAAATCTGCATCAGAATGTCTTTTTCTCTTTGTGCCTGAAGCTGTGGATGCCTTCTGATATCCTGCTGGCTCCAAAGCTAAAACTGAGGCTGTATTGTAAGCATCTTGATCTGCACGTTTCATATGTTCCACATCAACTTTGATGTTTAATTTCTGATCTGTTGATTTAGAGCAAAGTGTCCAAGTTAAAATTGTGCTTCAGCTGCACTTGAAATCATTAATATCACATTGAACTTTAAACATATTGGATAATAGTCTGCTTGCAGGTCCTCAGTATTAGAGGGCTTCTACACCAGTGTTCCTTTTCCTAAAACCTGAAATTGCACACCAATCCTCCAATTAAACAGTACCCAGTACACAAAATTTTTGTAACATGACAAATTTCATCAAGTATTTGCAAGATGGAAGAAAGTGGGAAAAAGTTAATGGTGACTGAAAGGGAACTAGTTTATCCATATCAAAACATTTACAGAAATAAATCATGCAATCTAGCATGCATGCAATGATAGCATGTTATCTACATGTACCTGCCTTTAGTCTTTTACAAAAGGTTTCTGTATTTCCACATACAGTGTCAAGGTAAAAAATGGAGAGATTAACATTCACAGCTTCTCTACAAATATTTAGTTCCCATAAGTGGAACTGTGTACAATTATATTAAATTATTGATGCCACATTATTGCACTGAAATTATTCTTCAAAGATTTATCACATAATTGTTATTACTGTTCGCAAAAACTTTCCATAATAAATTAATACAAGTTTTTAATTTCTTTTTCACCTTCCAATTTTGCTGTCTCCATAATCTTTGTCTTCTGTTCACTTTTTTCCCATTGTTCTTTTTTTTGTGGGCTTTCACTGGTTGAACTTGTGGAGTGGAATTCAGAGGATAAAGCATCTAAAATCAGATTTACAAGAAGACACACATTTTAAAAGATAAAGACACCTCAAACTATTTTTAAAAACACACAACATGCAAAAACTAGAAAAAATTTTCTTTCATGGTTCCTCCAACAAAAGTCTTGCCAATTAACCTTTGATTAATGGATGCAATCGAATAAATTAAGGAAAGATAAATACAACCCTGTAGAGAGGAAATACTGAGCCAGATGTCTTAGTAGGAAAGATAACAGGCTACTGGGAAGAGATGTTTGAGAAGAACAAAACATCAAATGAAACATCTTGCAAACAAATTACTTCTTGCATTGGCATGGTTTACATTCAGTAGTCAGCATGAATTTGTTCAAGAGACAAGTTCCCTAATTCTTGATATAAAAACTGGACCCATCCCTTCATGACATGTACCTTACCATACATCATGTGGAAAGACTGATGGATTTCATTAAAAGCCCTTGACAAATAATTCATAGTAGGACCAGGCCTTAATTGTTACATTCTTTCTACCAACCTCTAAGTGCATCTTTCTCAAAGAACATTTTGCATGCATTGTACTCTTCTATGTCTATTGTTGTCTTCAGCCTCAGCTCAGCCAGGTTCAGTTCCTTCAAGATCTCCTCAGTTACAAAACAATTCTGAACCACTTCATCAAGATGACCAGATGAGTAATCTGTCCACAAGTCCTCCAAGATCATTAGAGATTCACACCTCACCGTTATCACCAAACTTCCTTTAGAGACACCAGTAATGATGAGCCTCATTTTTTCTGCATATTCCATAAACCTATTGAACTCTTCAATAGACTGTGGCTTTATGGAATTGAAATAATTTAAAATAATTGATAGAAAGATTTCCTCTTTACGAGTGTGGAGATCTTCTGTTTGTGGACAAGACGCACTTCCAGATGCAGCTGATGTAGCAGATACCCTTGGCAGTATAACCTCTTGGCATCTGACAGTCTCTGTTGCCAACATGCCAGTCTGCATATTCTGTTCTTTAGGTTTCAAGTAATTCACATCAACCTTAATATTCATTTCACCACCTGTTAAATTGTAACAGTCACATTTAATCCTAATATAACAAGGTTTTTTCCACCTTCTACCTAATTAACCACTGAAATGTGAGAACATTACAATGAGGCAACACCAATCAAACATAGAGCTTGTTACCAATGAATAGATACCAACAACATAATTATTGATGAAATGAAAATGATTACCACATACAGTATATATATATTGCCTCAATTTTTGTTTCTTTTGCATCTTTATCTCATTCAATAGTAGAATCAAAATTCTGATGGATCTAAAAGATTAGTTTCAAACATGGAAATATCTAAACAGACCTAGCCATGGTGATACATAGGCATGCCTAGCATGCAAGAGTCATTTTTCTGGCTGGGTGGGTTAAGATAGGACATTTTGTATAACTAATGTTTTCATTTTTGTAACAGGAAAAGAGCATAACTTTTAAACAAACAAAAATATTGCATTACTTCACCTTAAGAGAAAGAAAATAAAAACCTAATTTATCTGAATTCACACAGGTATTTTGTGATCTATTGTCTCTATTGTCCAAATACTTCTCAGCAAAAATTAAATGCATCCACGCCACACTTACTGTTGTCTCCTTCACAGCCATAGTTGGGTCCCATCACACAACACCCTCTATTCCCCATTTGAAAGAGAGCATGTTGTGTGAAGACACCAAATAATAGTTGCAAAAGAGACCACTATCTCTGCTGTTCCTCTAACAGATAGAAAATGAAAATTATTCATCTACAGTTAGTTGTCCAAAAAATAGAATTCCACCTAATTTTATGACAAAAAGCAAACTGAAACTCTATTGTATTTCCAACAGACCCTCACCAAAAATATATCGTAATCTTGAATAAGTTAGGATACATTAAACAAGAGAAGAGGAAAATAATTCAAAGAGGGCTCCTTGATTGATTGTTGCCTATCTGGCCTTTGCCCTGTACATGTGAAATACATGATAAAATGCAGGTTGTTTACAAGGAAATGACACATGATAGAGCAAAGTCTAAAGGGGCAAAGTGGAATTTGAAGTCCATGGTAGCAGTTGAATGAAAAGTTCACCATCAGTCCCATTTAGTTCTGTGTGAATTTTTTTTTGTGGGTTGGAAAATGCATTTTGAATATGTGATAAAATGCAGGTTGCTTACAAGGAAATGACACATGATAGAGCAAAGTCTAAAGGGGCAAAGTGGAATTTGATTGGTGGAGTACAATTCAAGCACATGAAAAATTGCATAGTGTTCATGTAGTGCAATGATTGGGTATGTTCTGATTGGATTTTGAACATTATTTCCATGGTACTCGATGGAATGTGAGTTGTTTAGCATGTGGATCATGAGTAAAAGAAAGGAAAAAACATGTTTTAACTTAAAAATGAAACAAAAAGTCAAATGTGATCCTACCATATCCTGATAAATCTCAAGCTTAAGGCAAAGGCCAAAAACCATTACACTTAACAAATGAGCCCAAAATTTCTGATTAAGACCATTCTTTGTACACAGTCCCCTAATTCAATGACATAATTTACAAGAAAAACAATACCCAAATGCTGTGGATGGTGTAAGATATCCTAATGCTGTAATGATTGGTGCAAGAATCATACTCTTATGTGGCAATCTAATTGGTGCAAGGTAAATACCCTGATGCAGCAGATCTGATTGGTGGCAGATATAAGACATTCAGTCTGTACACTAACATATCAAAAAGCACTCAAAAAGACAGTGCACTTGAACACTTGTAGTCCAACCACAAGTCTAGATAAATGTAACAACTCAGGACTAAAGGTGCACTTTACTCATTCTTGTGCTTATCTACATGTACCGGTATTCAGTTTATCTTATGCGGCTCAGTCTACACATAAGATTTAGCTTCATACATGTAGCATAAAATTTAAGCAAATGTACTGAAAAAAAAGAAAAATTAAAAGAAGTAGGCTCACCATTTGCAGTTTTCACAACATTTTCAATCAGCCGTTTAAACCTCTCACATTCTTCTTTCCAAGCGTAAACCTTTCTGTAGTTCTCGCGAAGCTTCACAGCATTGGCTTCTCTCTCTTCTGCACTTTCTTCATACATCTCTCTGATCCTTCGTGCCCATTCATCTTTATCTTCACCTTCACCTGATCCAACAATGACAGTGTTTCCACCTTCTACTTTTTGCAAAGCCTCAGTTATGCCAGATTCGCCAGAGACAAGAACAGGAACACCAGCAGAAATGGCCTCAAGGGCAACAAGCCCAAATCCTTCGGTACGGGATGGCAGAGCAACCAAATCTGACTGATAGAACATCACCTTGAGTTCCTCTTGTTCACTGCAATATCGACGGATGGTTAGTTGGTTGCGGTTGATGCACGTGTTGTCAAGAAACCATTGCTCAACTTTACGTTGTTCACCGGGAGATGAGCCGACAAATGTCAACTCAAAGTTCTTACCAAGAGAACCAATGGCATTTGCGACTACATCATAGCCTTTCAGGGAAAGATCCTCAAAGGCAGCTCGGCCAAACAAAGACACATTAAAATTCTTTACTACCGATCTGTCTACAGCCAATTTTGATTCATTGGAAAACTTTCCAAAGATCCCAGGAGTGATAATCTTCACTTCAACATTAAGGAGACGTCTGCTGTACTTCTGTTGTAGACGGGAGCCAACGGCGACAACTGCATCCGCTGCTTTACACAACTCAATTTCCATCTTGTGCTTCTCCTCGTTCTCTTCGATTGTATCTTCTGCAGCCGTAGCAGATTCTTTATATTTCCCAAGGTCCTCACAATAGACGTGAACAAATTGGATCCATTTACACTTTGTAATCTGTACAAGGGAATAAGCAGGACTACCCAGCTTTCTTCCATGGCCTATTACCAGATGTGGCTTTGGGAGCTTTGAGGGTGGAAACTTCAAGCACTCGAGGGGGTCGGCTGAACCAGGAACACTTCGAGCTGTGATTAAATTGACACCATGTTGTTCAGCATCTTCTCTGTCCCGATCATCGCTATTAGAGACATAGCAGTGGATTTTCATGCTACCAGTCGTCGCTTCTGCCAAATTAATGGCAAATTCTCGATTGAAAGTCGATAATCCACCCTTCGAAGATTTCCATTCGTCGCAGAGAAACATGACATCAAGAACCTTCTGCTCTCTCTGCTCCTGGTGGCTACTTGCAGCATTCGCTGCTTCGGAAGACGACATGGTTATTATCGCTACGTTTTCCTTCACTAATAGATAGATCTCAATCCCCTAAATACTGCATTCGGCGGAAGTTCCAAAGAGCAACCCACGTCTGACTCCATCTTCCTTATTTGATACATTTGTTTATTACTCGGAAAGATCTAATAGCCTCAAGGCATGTGGTCAGAAACAATCCAGAAGACAAATCGTAAACGCCCATGAATATGGAAGTTGTGCCTACAAATGTAACCCACGATCTGTTCAGCGGTTCAACAGGGATCCATGTAAATGTGGACGCTTCGAAGCGAGATGTCGGCCCGCCTAGCAACCGTTTCGATATCTTCGGACAAGTGTATTTATGTACTTCTTTTCACATCATGTTAACGATCAATCTCACTTCTCTGCATAAAGAAACTTACAGAAGTTTGCACATCCTCTCATGTCTCTCATAGTCTAAGTATCCGAAGATCCGAGGTAGCCTATCAAATAATTATATCGGATATGCTCAACGTAGAATATAGTTCCCTGAAAGAACCATTTTGTCGATCGTTGTTCTATCCTTGGCGTTTTCTTTCATCGTGTTCAGAAATATTCTTTTTTTTAACTTGAATGAAAGCCGAATGCTGGTCTAAAATTTTGTTATTTTCGGAGGGGCCTCGGCTACGCCTCTGCCGCTGTTTTGTTCTCACACATTTTGACGTTATCTATGATCTAATATTGAAGAGAGGAATCTATTTTTTATAATAAAAATGGCCCTAGATCAATGACTGCGCGAGAATTTCAACAGTTTTTTTACAACACGCTATTGAATAGAATATTACACGATCATCGTCTGTTCATTGTAAATTATTCAGAGCTCAGTTGTTCAAAGGGCGCATCACACTATCCAACGGATGTGTTAGCAAAACTTACTGCGCTATCTACTTGATACAGAGGGTATGAAGAGCATGAGGTGTACGAGGCTGTAAATAAAAGAAAGATATATGAACCATGCGCCTTTGGTAAAATGAAAGATCACTGGCTTGGACAATTAAGAAACTGTCTGTTAACCCTAGTTAACCAGACTTAGTAGATACACGAAACACGAATGGACAAGTTTTATCGGAAATGGTACAGCCTAAATGAACAAATCATTGCAGTCAACGACAACGGCTGTCCACAAAGAGGGCAAAATAATTGCGCAACTACTACTACTACTGCTACTGCTACTGCTATTGCTACTGCTACTGCTACTCCTGCTGCTAATGCTACTCCTGCTGCTACTGCTACTCCTGCTGCTACTGCTACTCCTGCTGCTACTCCTGCTACTCCTGCTGCTACTGCTACTCCTGCTGCTACTGCTACTCCTGCTGCTAATGCTACTCCTGCTGCTACTGCTACTCCTGCTGCTACTCCTGCTACTCCTACTACTACTCCTGCTACTCCTACTACTACTGCTACTCCTACTGCTACTGCTACTACTACTACTACTGCTACTGCTACTGCTACTGCTACTCCTGCTGCTACTCCTACTACTCCTACTACTCCTACTACTACTGCTACTCCTACTGCTCCTGCTACTCCTACTACTTCTCCTGCTATTCCTACTACTACTGCTACTCCTACTGCTACTGCTACTGCTACTCCTACTACTTCTCCTGCTATTCCTACTACTACTGCTACTCCTACCGCTACTGCTACTCCTACTACTTCTCCTGCTATTCCTACTACTACTGCTACTCCTACTGCTACTGCTACTCCTACTACTTCTCCTGCTATTCCTACTACTACTGCTACTCCTACCGCTACTGCTACTCCTACTACTTCTCCTGCTATTCCTACTACTACTGCTACTCCTACCGCTACTGCTACTCCTACTACTTCTCCTGCTATTCCTACTACTACTGCTACTCCTACTGCTCCTGCTACTCCTACTACTTCTCCTGCTATTCCTACTACTACTGCTACTCCTACTGCTACTGCTACTGCTACTCCTACTGCTACTGCTACTCCTACTGGTGCTGCTGCTGCTGCTGCTGCTGCTGCTACTGCTGCTACTACTATTACTAATAATAATAGTGATAATAGAAATAATAATAATAATAATAAATATATGTTATTTGCCGGCTGGGAGGTCCGTATGGTGAAAAACTGTGACCGAGGTCTTGAAAATACTGCCCGAGGCCGTAGGCCGAGGGCAGCATTTTCAAGACCGAGGTCACAGTTTTTCACCATACGGACCGACCCTTAGCCGGTAAATAACATATTTATTGTTTTTAAACTTGACGAAATTCTTTCCGAAAGAACCCGAATGATTTATGGACGTAAATACGGCAAGATTTTCCATAAACTGAACAATTTTTGAGTGGGTAAATGGTAGTTAAAATAGAGGTGATGCAAATTTAAGAGAGATGCCTCAGCGAAACATTTTCATTTCCGTAACGATAAAGGTGATTTAAAAGGCTTCCAAACAAACTTTGAAACATTATTTTTACAAGTATCTGTCACAATCTGACACCTGTCAATTAGAGAGCGCGAAAGAAAAAAAAAAGCGTAGGAACATTTGAAAACCAACAGAACTAGTTTGGCAAGGACCGTCACGACAATGTTTTCTTCAAAATCAGTTAATGATCTAACGGAAAGTATTATTCACTCGCATCGACCATTCATTCATGTACGAGGATTTACCTCTGTTCATTAAGTAAACGGCGAGGAAAGTAATTGTGAGTAAATTCAATTTTTTTATTTTGAAGTTGTGAGAGTTTGCTCGTTTGTTTGCTGTAATGGCGTGTGTAACTCTGATCTTTCCTTCACAAAAACTAAATTCGAACGGCACACTCCAACGAGACACAAGGGAATTTAATGCGGCCTTTTCTCAAAAAATTCCTTCAATTTCTGTTGTGCAATTTAAGGTACAAATGTCCAAATTGAACGGAATTGGAAAGACTCACCAGGAGCGTATATTTGTTGTAGAACTTAAATTAAAACTTCGCTCGCTCTTTCACTATGAACAAATTGCTCGAGAAAATTCAGATATTAAATGAATGAAAGTTCCATCGTTCAGTTTAACTGTAACCAAATACCTCATGTTTCAACTTTCTGGGTACTTTTTGTGAACGATTAAAATTAATTGCAGACGGTTTTTAGGCCGCTTGTCAACCAACGTAATGACACTATTGTTTATACAAATTCATTCTGAAACCAATATTTTTCTGTCAACCAAAGTGATTTGAGAGAGAGAAAAGAGAGGATTCATAAGTTATTTATCGGCTTGAGGTAGTGACCGACGTGTTTGCTTAAAAACACTGCCCAGCCGGAAAACGAGGTATATTTATGAAAAATGACAACGAAAGTTGGGATGTACTCGGCGACTCACGAAAGCGTTACCGTGGCCCGTGGGCAGAGATAGGAAAATACTGACCGGGTAAAGAACCAATCAGATTGCAGGATTCGTTACTGTGCCCTCTAAAAAAACAATAATAATATGTATTTTTCTAATCCTTACTTCGTATTCTCAACCCCATCCAATTCTTTAGTTGATGGATAATTACTTGCTTCATCAGATTTTCTTTTTTATTGAACACATTTGAACACTTTGTAGAAAATAACTTAATGAGTTATAAGGAAGAAACTATAACCATGACATCAATCATAATGTTTCAGAACTGACGTCATGTCACCCTTCTTCAGAGCCTGAAAAAACTTTCAATAAGCGAATTTTGGGAATTCAGTTTTATGAAACATTCCCCGCTACGATGATTATTCCCGACTTCCGCGATGGTGAATCGGTTGTTATTAGAGAACTGTAGTGAAGTACACAGATCGTGAATGTATTCAACTTCTAACCCGCCATTTCTTGGATTTAAGGAATTTTCGGTGAGTCCCAAAAAATTATTGACAAAACAATTCGTATGGCCTCTCGTAAAGACGGCTCAACTAACCTCCTATTCCTATAATTGTGTAAATTAACATCACAGAGGTTTAGCAAATAAGTGATGATGGTCGAATTACAGAGTAATTTTCAATTGAGAGTCGAAAGACATTCGAGATTACTTTTGGTTTTGCTTTACTTCGCTCTGTGATTGGTCAAGAACACTTGTACTATCCTATCAATCAATCAGATGCAAAACTAACACCAATCTCAACTTGGTGACTGGTGTTTTCCCGCTCTTCGGGCAGTTTACTTGTTTTTACCTCGAGCACTCATTGGCTCCTCTTTGTGATAGTTTCTTTGATTCTGATTGGTAGTTCTTCTTGCTTTGGTTTTGGATTTACGACACTCAATTGAAAAGCGCTCTAATCAAGTCGGGGATTACTATCTAGACATAAAAACAAATTCCGAGGAATACTCGACAAAGAATGCATGGTTTAGTCAGGAAAATTAATATTCAGATCTTCAAGCCGATCTTCAAGGAAACTAATTTCTTGTGTATTGCCACTTAGTTAAGACAGAACAAAGGCCAGGATAGAAAGTGGGCTCTCATGTCCCAGCTGAGATCAAGAAGATGAATATGTGTGAGATACTAGCACTATCACGGTCACTCACAACAAAACTGAGGCAGCGTTCAGATACAAGTTTTTCTATTATATCTGCAACCACTTAGTTTGAAGTCTTACAAAAGTTACTTGGAGAAAAAGAAGAAGGAAACTAATACAAACCCATTCCAGAATATCTACAGAAGTGGACGAATTTTTGTATCCTGTTCTCTGAGCGACTCGACTTTCGTTTAATTTCATCTGCGTAAGTAAAACACAAAGCCACTCAAACAACACATCATCACTGACTTCTCCTTTCCATTTTGGAAGGAACATCGGCAAAACTGATACTATCCACAGTAATTTTAAAACAATGTACGCCTCGGAAAGAAAATAGATAGGTAACTGGAAATATTGTTAGATATAAAAGAATTCTTAGACTGAAAAAAAAAAATGTGCCAACACTGTTGCTCCTAAAAAAAAAATAGTCACCTGTAAGTCGGCTTTATCCTTCGCCCATTTTCTGACGTTATCTGCCAACTATAGACAACGCAAGGAAACCGAGA